AAGAAGATGGATCAAAAAGGGGAGAGGGGTAAATTTGTAATTTTTTATTTTTTTATTAAGGCAAAATTGGTTGATGAGTTGACAGTGAGTTGGCACTGATGTGGCTAAAAAAAAATTCCAGATCAACGATTTTTAAAATTATTTTTGCCACGTCATAAAAAAATTATAAAAAATGCTACATAAGCGAGTTAACGGTCCGAATTAATAGAAGGACTAACGGAGTGCATTTCGTATAGTTAAGGGATCAAAAAAGTGCAAAAAATTGTTAAGAGACCAAAAATGTGCAACTCACTAAAGTTGAGAGATCAAATTTAGCATTTAACCAAAACACAAAAGAGAACTCCCATTAAATATACTTTAAAGAAAGTAATTAGGGTTATCGTCTCATGAGAGGGACTTAAAGTTGGATATCAAGAGTTTACACCTAAAAGTAAGGCTTCCTTTAACAAAACTTGTTAAAGAATTTTTTTTTCTAACAATATTTTTTTTTAAAAGGTTATATTTATTTTTTAATTAATATTTTATATATTTTTATTAAAAGTCATTGCTAACAGCTGGAACTGTAAAATAATTAAGAGGATAATATTTTCAAAATTACATTATTTTAATAAAGCACAATGAAAAAAAACCAAAATAATTTCATTCTTATAATTTTGAAAATAAGTTATTTCAATTTTATTCAATTGAAACTTATTAAAATGAAATAATTTTTACGACCTTAATGTTTAGAGATTTGATTAATAAACCTTTTTTTTTCATTTTACTAATTTTAATTTGAATTAATATTTATGTATATTTGGAGTAATACAAGACAAAGGAGAAAAAAAACCCCCTAAAGTTATAATTACAGCGCAATACATCACTCTCAAACAAAGAGTAAGTTATTTATATAAGGATTCTTTTAATTTATACCCTTAAAGACATAGGTTAAGAGTGTTTTTTTGTCATAAATATGTATAAAAAATGTAAAAATTGACATTAATTTTAGAGTTATTGCTACTTGGATAAATTTAATTGGAGGAATGACAAATCACATGTCATTATTTATTTTTTCAAGGGTCTTAACGTGTGCCTTTAGTGCATAGGTTAAAAAAACCCTTTATATAATTTTTTTTTTACCATAAATAAAACTTGAGAAAGATGAAAATCAAAATATCTTAATATTTAAAATATCCTTATAAAATTGTTCAAATATCTTAATAAATAATTAAGAATATTTAAATCTTTTTATTATCATTAATTACATTTTAATTACCGAAACGTTTTTATTTTTCACAATCTCAATAAAACTTTCACTTATCAACAAAAAAAAAAGTGCAAGGATCTTGCCATCCTTAACCCCAATGTACAGTTAAAGCTTCAAACTTTTCTAGGGTTATGTTTGGTACAATTAGTGGGAAGTCCTTTTGGATTCCAAAAGCTCCAGTTGCATCAAACATTATAATTTATGAAAAATGCTACAACTTCTCATCAGTTAATATTTTATCCATTTCATTACAAATCTCAGAAGTATCGAATTGGTATTTTTATAGTAGTTTCTATTTGGATTTTAATGAAATTAATACATTATTCATATTTTATCATTATTTTTTTTTATTTACAAAAATAACACTTCTACAATAATTTTTTTTAACAAAACTTCTATTAAAAGTTTCAATTACACCAAACGGCCATTAAATTTGTAATGCTAAACATTCAGCCATTGAAGTACCAAAAAAAAGAAAAAAGCGTATTCATGCGACTGTTGGGCCTGGGCCTAATAAGCCCACGTGCAATGCAACGACTGTTTTATGATCCAAAGTATCAATTCCAAGGGAAATATTGTTCCTAGTGCAGGAAGAGGGCCAGACTGAGCTCCACAGCAGCAACAATTTTGTATTACATATCATCAGGTCCGCTCTGGATGTACATGCATACGTTTCTGTTTTTCTGTAATTCATTTTTGTGGCTTTTTTTCCCAATTCATTCTCATAAGTAGTGGGGTTTCGCTGTGAAAAGGTTATATTTTTCTGTTCAATGGTTAATGTAAGTGATATTCGGTATTCACGGAACCTGTTTGATGAAATGCCTGTGAGAGAAAGCAAATGACTGGTTTGAATATGGCATGGACTCTTGGTCTCTGGCATCATGCTTGTTCTAGGGAATTATGGGGATTCAATTAAAACCTTGTATCCAGAAATGGGATGTCTGCAAAATTTATAGAGCTAAAAAGGTGACTGTGATTCTGTGAAGGATAAGTTGGCACAGGAAAACCCTAGTTATTTTTGTTATCATTGTTATTCCCTTTTTTATTGTGAGGATGAATGACCCTTTGTTTTTGTATGATTGAATCTCAGGAAAAAGAATTCACTTGCATAATTGTGTTCAGTTAGGAGTAAGAATTATTCTTCTCAAAAATGAAGAATTATTTGTTTTAACCTTATGGTTTTGTTTTGAGAAGTCTGGAGAGTAAAAAGGTTAATGGTTTTGTTAATTTCGTGGACAGAGATGGTTATTCCCCCACCTGTAAGGCCACCAAGAATTACCAAGTTCCTTAAGCTATATGTCCTGAAGATGCACTTCACAAACAAGTATGTTAGTGCCCAAGTGATCCATGCACCAACTGCCACTGTGGCTTCGTCTGCAAGCTCACAAGAGAAAGCCTTAAGATCAAGTATGGGATCTACTGGAGATGTTGCAGCAGCTGCCAAGATTGGGAAGATACTTGGGGAGCGATTGCTGCTCAAAAAAGTGCCGGCCATTTCTGTTTTCTTAATGCGAGAGCAAAAATATCATGGGAAAGTGAAGGCTGTCATTGATTCTTTGAGAGAAGCAGGTGTCAAGTTGCTTTAATTTTGAAAAATGGGAGAAAATTCTCGGTAAATTGATTTCTTAGCAGTCTTTGTTCTTAAAAGATTACATTGGTAAAATCCTTGAAAACATACTTTGCTGGTTGTGTGTTTTTGTTGCTGTGGCTGTTCACTGTGATCAGTGGTCATAATCTTGTCTTAGTATTGTTGATGGTCCTACTGCTCAATGCAGGTCACTGAAACATCCTTTTCTTCTTTTATCCTGTTGTTGTACTATTGCAAGTTGCAAGTGTTAATAGGATAAAATTTGAATGGATTTTGAAATTCTTGATAGAAAATCCTTCGCTATTTAGCCTGTTTATGATTCATTATCAAATTCATTCTCTTGATGATATTAGATTCAAACCCAATAGCTAAAAACGCTTCTAGGAAGCTCTCCTACTGGATCATTGCTTCCTTGAGCCATATTTATGACTATTGAGGTAAGTTTAGTTCCATTTTTTTGTTTTTCTCAGATAACATTCAGAACAAGGATGAGAGGTTCATACTTTTGGCTACTATTTAAGACCTGCTCAGGCAGTGGTAACCTCTGGCTTTCAATTATTAAAAAAAATTATTGCTGAGATACCTTGACACAACAGTGGGGATTTTCAACTGTTTGCTTTAATCATCGATTACGCACATTCATGGATTAAAAAATTATAGTCTTGCCTCTCAACCTTTTGATTTGAAGACAAATATATCTCACTCAGCATGGTGGAAGTAAACTTCACCAAGTTGCATCTGATTTTTCTGCTATTTAATCCTTTTTATCCCAGATGTACTTCAATTATTAGTTATGCAATTGTCAACAACTTTTGACTCTAATTTAGAGGGTTCATCATGTGCAAATTTTGAGTTATGTGGGGAAGGATTTGAAAAAAAATGAGGGGGTTATGCTCTTTTGTTGTATAGCTAAACATTAAATGTTCTAAAAAAATTCACTCATTCAACTTTAGTAGGCTTAAATTTTTTTGTGTAATAAAATAGAGATGTGATTAATTTATTGATAAAATTTTATATTTATTTTTAATTAAGTATCACTTAAATAAGATTTTTTATTCAATATATATTATAATCATTTTTTTTAAATAAGGGTAAAATATGAATAAATGCACTACTTAATATTCTAAAAAAAAAATGAACAACACATCATCTACAAATGTAACTTTATCATAAATAATTAATTTTAATTAATAATATGTATATTTTTAGATATTTTACTCTCACTATTTAATTTTAATAGATTTAATTTCTAATTTAGAATAAAAAAGACAAACAAAAAATGTATAACAACAGCATAACATAGCATTTCCTAACAAGGTTAAGTTAAAAGGTTTTTTCTTTTTTTTTTTTAGTGTGGTTCAATCTTTAATCAATTCTCTAATCAATACATTCAAAGTAATATATTTTTATTTTTATTATATACTGATTACAAGTTTACTTCTTTTAGTCCTAAAATAATTGTAGTTTTTTTTAATTCTTTCATAAATTAAAAATGTAGAAACAATTTATGTTTTTATCTAAACCCCTAAAAGAGATATATAAAATTTTGTTAATAAGTGGATAATTAAAGTTAAGTAAAAATAGGAAAAATATTTGTCTAACTTAAAAATAAAAAAATAGTAATTAATATAGGACAGATTATGAGAAAGAAAAAAAGACAATTATTTTGTGATAGAGAAGCATTTGATATAAGAAAAGTGAAAATCAAGATTTTTTTTTTATTTAAAATATTATAATTATCTATAAATTATTTAAATATCCTTATAAATTCTTCATTAATTAATCCCTATTTAAGTCAAGGGAAACAAAGGGCAAGGAAACAATATCATTTTATTTCTCTTCACTGTCCTCTTTTCTTGTCTCTCGTTTGGTTATACTAAAATTATAAAAGAAAATAAAGCAGAACTTCTCCTTTTCCCCTCCCATCCCTCCTCAAACCAAAGAAATCGTAAAGGTATTTAAAGCTTTCATCATTATTCCTAACTTTTGAAGCTTCATTTTTTTTGAAACAATATTACAATCATTTCTACAATACTAAAGGGGAGAATGGGAAAGGAGAAATTTGAAAACTAGAAAATTCAACTTGAATGATGTTCCCACAAAAATTCATGGCAAGCCACTAATCCCAAAGGTGAGGAACAAAGCTTCATTTAGCATGATTATAATTTTGAGTTTTTATTTTTGATTTTAAAAATTTTAGAAACCTTAAAACAAAATTGAGGAATTTTATAAATGAATTAGATTTAAAATTTTAAATATAAATTTAGAAAACTTATATCTCATAAATTGTCAATTTTAATTTTTTTTAATTTTAAAAACCGAACCCAAAACTCACAATTATTCTAAGAGGGTCATTAATTGTGTTATTTTGATTTTTTCTTGAATCCCTCTTTGATACACAGTGAGAGAACAAAAAATAGAAAAGCAAAGGCTAAGGGTGGCAATTTCCCTCGATCCCCGCGGGGATCCCCATCACGGGGACTGGGCGGGAATGGGGAACATTTTCTCCCCGTGAAATTTCGTAGGGTCCCGCGAGGATCCCCATCCCCATGAAAAATAAAAAAAATTTAAATTTAATTTAATATTTAAAATAAAACCTAAACCTAACCCAAACCAAATTCAATAAAAATTAAATTTTACCCAACCCAACCTAATCCAACGTAACCCAACCCAAGTATCCAACCCAACCATCCAACCCAACCAGCCAACCTAGCAATCCAGCATCCTCCTTACAAGTTCCAACCATAATTAATCCCTCTTCCAACCCTAATATCATAACTTTATTCATTTACCCTCCCTTTCTCCTCACTCACACACGCAGCCACAGCCCCTCACTCACTCTTGGTCTCAACCGGACAATCAAGCTCTCAAGTCTCACCTCACCTTCAACCTTCCTCTCCCCTTCTTGCTGCTACAGATCTACTACAAATCTGCAGTTGGAGCTGCTACAAATATGCTGCTGGAGCTGTTACAGATCTGCTCCTGGAGCTGCTATCCAAAGCTGTTAGCTGCAGCCTGCAGATTTGCTGGAGTTCATCCTGCTGACTGCTGAACTCTGTCTTTGCGCTTGTTCCCTGTGCCGAACTCCCTCTTTACTTGTTGCACTCCCTCTCTGCTTGCTGCCTGTGCTGGACTCCCTCTTTGCTTGCTACACTATGCCGGACTCCCTTTCTGCTTGTTGCACTATGAGACTTGAAGGTTATACTAATAATATAAACAGCTTTTTTTATAAATATGTTAACATAAAGTATTTACTAATTGTATTTACTAATTGTATTGTAGGTCTTTGTATAAGCAATTGTGGATTTTAAGAGCTAAAGTGTTTTGAGTTGGTTCTTGGCTACTTCTCTTATGTTGGTTTAGTTTAATTATTTTATTTATATTGGGTTGATTTTTGCTTATATTTGGAAAAAGTATGTTACTTTATGTTGGATTAATTTATATGTATATTTGGAATAACTTATGTTTGGAACATGTTGCTTTATGTTGGATTAATCTCTATTTGGAACAATTTTATTGATTTAATTATTTGTGTTAAATTAATTTTTATTTATGTTTGATGCAAAAATATATACTTTGTTATTAATTGGTGGGGAATGAGGATCCCCGCGAGGAATGGGGACGGAGGGCAAAATTTGCCCCCCGTAAAAAATTCCAGCGGGGATCCCCGTCCCCGCCATTCGCGGGGACAGGGATGGGGAGGTACCCTCCAACCCCGCGGGGCCCCGTTGACATCCTTAGCGAAGACGGCTGATGAAGGACCAATGGTTCGTTGTTGTAATTTTTCGGAAGATCAATGGCCAGATTTATAAACCAATTTCGGATAAAGTTTTAGGGCTAATTTCATACTTTACACATTAATAAAAAATTATTCATTTAACATCTAGTTTTAAAAAATATAAGTTAATTTTTTTTATAATAACCTTTCCGTATCCGATAATTATAGTATATTTTAATTAATTCAAAATCAAATTGAGTTAGATTCTATCAAGCAATAACTCTCTCAATACTTGTTTTTTTATTTATAAGACTCGAATTTAAAATTTTAATTAAAAAAACTAAATTTTTTTCACTCAAATCAATAAGTTATTGATAAAAAGTATAAGTTAATAGTATAATTAATATATTTTTTATGTTAATTAATATAAAAAATAATAAAAATTAATATGAATTTTATTATTAATATGTATTATTTTAATTAAATAATTAATTAAATAAATATAAAATTTTACTTTTAATAATAAATAATAAAAATTAATATGAATTTTATTATCAATATTATATATATTATTTTAATTAAATAAATATTAAAATTTTGAATTGACCCTCCAAATTTA